TGGGGTCTTGATGATAAATAATGAAGTTTTCCTATTCCTTGCTAGTAAGTGCACTATATAGGCTGTTGTAGACAAACATGGATGTTTCTTTTTTTATTTATTTTTTTTTTTTTATTTTTATTTTTTTTTCCCCCTACTACTCTGGAGCTAACTGTAATAAACAGTAGTCTCTGTAACCCAACCATTTACCATGTCTGCAGCAGAAATCGCTAACTACTACTAACGTAGTACTATGATGATGATGATCCCCGTATCGAGGCATCACCTAGACTATTAGACTTGCACAAACAACTTACTCGGGATACTTTGCTAGTCCGACTAGTAGTAGTAGTAGCCTGCGCCACAACCCATCCTTAATATTGAAACCATCCAAACAAAATAATTAAATATAGTACAGTACTTACTAGTATATATCTCACAATTCGGACATAACCTCCTCCCCATCCAACTATTCCAGAAAATTAAATAAACCTGCTAGATGATGAAGGGAGAAAAAAGCGGAGCTGCAAGCTTCATCCACCGGGGCAATTGTCTGCGACATGAGATGTTTCATGCCTAGTAGCTACTCCGTATTTACTATTTATTGACTTGTTTATTTATTTTGTTTTACTCAACTGTTCCATGTTTATCGACCTAGTTGGTGTAGGTTTTATGAAGGGTCTTATTTAATATGATGCATGTAAATTAGGGTGAGATATAGTAAGGAAGGTAGGTGGAGGGGGATGCGGTGTCATATTTATTCAATGTGTGGAAGTAGATAAATATTGGGAATGGAGAGATTGTATGTGATTTGGTTTCTGGGTGTGTAGGTAGGTAGATGGATATTAGATAGGTTGGTTGATAGATGAGGGAGCTTTGGTTTGTTTGATAGTATGGCTTCAATTATTGTAGCTGCTTTGAGCATAGAATCATTGGTAAAGGCAAGTACTACTTATTCACTTCGTTCGCTTACGTGTCCTACAATCACGCAAATATTGATCAAAGAATGCAATTTTATGACCATGACCGTGACAGTCCATAAAGTAAATCCACGCTATCTATCCATCCCATGGCCAAACCAGTCTATAACTATCCATCCAGTCCCGGATCCATCATGAGTATAAAGAAAAATAAAAGAACAAGAGCAAACCCATATGTACATAAAATGCATGCCGGAAGTGCAGTCATTCATCCAGTCATCCAGCCGGGTGGGGAATTAGTTCGTAAGAATCAAAACAGTGATCGATCATCATCAAGCACAACGCACAACTCCAAGCGAGTGCAGCCAAACATATAACAGTCAAGGTATCAAGAAATGGAAACCCCGGGAAAACATCGAGGTCGGATAAATAATCACAGAATGCGCCAGATCGGTAATCAGAGATGCGAGGGCGGTAGTTGTGGTCATCAAGGGCATCAAAAGGTTGTTAGTGAGCGTAAGGACGCGTGTCGCGTCGGCCGTATGATTGTTGGAGTGTGAGGAAGAGGGGATAAAGATTATAGCGGGGGAATCGAAGCGTCTTGTACACTGTCATCGCTGATCGAGGTTGCAGGAGATGCGAGACCCGAGATAACAGACGAGGTACCCCCGCGTCCGCTCTCGCCAGTTTGTTCCAGCTCGACCATCGAGTCCTCCAGCTGGGCGTTCGCGCCCGAGCGGGAAGCATTAATGGTAGGCTTAGCGGCGCTGGTCATAAGCTCATCGATACCGGGCTTCTCCGGGACGTAGTGATCGAGGTTGGTCGCGCTGTCGAGGCTTTCCAGTGCGAATTCAAGGAACTCGGCGTCCTTCTTGCTCACACTCAGCGTCCACCGGTATTCGCACAGTCGGAGACGGTAGAACTCCGATTCTTCTTTGGTGGGAGCGGTGACTCGAAGCAAAACACCAAAGGATCCGATAAGGGCAAAGTTCGTCCGCGCGGCGGCCGGCCAGAATGACCTCAAATGCATCGGACGAAGACGGTTGACAAAGTCCATGGCGGAAATCAGGCGAGTCTTGGCGGCAGAGCGGCAGATATGGGAGAGGTAGGCGTCGGCGGTGTCCTGGGAGAGGGACCGCACAATACAGCGGTGGAGAGTGATTTCCGTGGCGAAATAGGCCAGGTGCAAAGCACCGTTGCGGGAGTTGTCTTCATTGACCGTCTCGAAGATATCTCCGCCCGAGTCCATCTTCAGCTGGGTGGGTAGGCGACCAAACCACTCCTTCAGCCGGATCTGAGCCGGCTTGGCGCGCTCCAGGATCATGCGGGTACGGTTGTTCCCGGCCGTCCTGAATTCCTCAATCGCTTGAAGAGTATAGAAACGATCCAGAATATCGGACAATATTGTCGTCAAGGCCACCATGTGGCAGAAGGACAACGGACCATGGCCGACGGGCGCATCATCGTGGGCGGATGCACCCGAGAAGGCATCGGTGAAATCCTGTTCCACCAGGTCCTGAACCATCCAATTGGAAGACACAATGTGAGATGGACGGCCATGCACCAAAGCGGACCATTTGTCCTGCATATATAGTGCCCATGCCAAGCGTTTCCGGAGACCCTTCTCCCACGTTTCCATCCGCCAATTAGAGCAGTCCTGGTGCAGGCCCAGCTCGAACCCGGCGGTCACCAATTGTGCATTCAAGGCCGCTGTGGCAAGGTTGGACCGCTGCATGAGCAGCAGGCCGGCTTGCACAGTCGACATAGACGCATAGGGCAGGGACTCAGTCAGCAGCTTGAGGGCCGTGCTCTCCAGCCGGCCGGCATCCGGCCGTCGGACGGACTGCGAGGCCGAGCCGACATCAACGAACTTCAACGCCAACACATAGACGGCGGACAATAGCAACGGCGTCAGCCCGGTCCGTGCCCGGTAGGACTGACGGAAGCTATCCTCCATGAGGATGGGAAAGCTAGGATGGACATGCTCGAAGAACTTCTCCACCAAGGTGGAGCCATAAGGGGCGACCAGGCTTTCAATGGCATCGAGCGTAGCGGTTTGCGGGGAGTCCGCGTGAGAACGGGTGTTGACCACCCTCATGAAGGTGCCGTCGTCACCGAACTTGCGCACGCGAGACGAGGCCACACACCCTTCGTTATTCTGGTCCAAGGGTAAGAACTCGAGGAGGGCGGGCTCGAGTTCAGTGGTGAGGCCGATATGCTGAGTGGATTGGAACCAAAAGGCCGGCGTGAGAATGTGGTGGTTGTTCAATGTAGGGCGGGAAGAGCTGTCTGGTTTGTTGGAGGCTGGGGGAAGAGTAGTAGATTGCCTGGCAGCGGGTACCCAAATTAGCGTTCCGAATTGAGATTCAGGGCAGGGACGTCCGAGATCGGCCTTGAGGACGCCCCGGTGAAATCATACCTCTTAGGAGATTCCACTTCTTCGGCATCGGCGTCGTCCAATTTACGTTTTTTCGACGTGACATCCGCCGTGCCGGGGCGACTCGTCACGGACAAGGTGAAGGTGCAGTCCTGGCGGTGGAAGTCGCACGAATAGCATTTATTGATCATTTCGTTGATAGCACACCGGCTCTTTCTGCGCACACAGGCGTCGCAACTGGGCGCATCCCGGCCTGCTGCAGTCACACGGGGGAGGGTGCCAATGGATGAAGCCGGCGACTGTGGCGTGGATATGGACCCGGGTTGGGGGGCGTGTGATGGCTGGGGTTGGGATTGCTGCTGCTGGACCCGGGGTCGAAGGAGTTGGTGGTGGTGGTGGTCAGAAGCAGGCGACTGTTGAAAGGCAGCTGCAGAGGGGGCAGTTGGCCCCGTCGTCGAGGACGACTGGAGAGTGATAACGGCAGCCATTCAGAGGGGGGTTGAATGGACAGGTCGAAAGATAAACCGGATGGAGCGATAAGCAACGCCAACTCAAGAGTGGCCACTGCAGGAGCAAACCGGGGAGACAAGCCGGAGATGCGTAGATAGGCGGCGAGACTCGCAGGCCCAAAATCTCACAAATTGTCACAGAAACAATAATTTAATCAGAGATGGGCGATAGTGACAACAATCAATGGGGATTATTGTCACGTAAATGAACCGGGGCCGTCGGAGACTCCGCCGTACGAGCTCCGCAATGGAAAGCACGGAGGGCAGGAGACAAGAGAGAAAAAGAGGCTAGGAAGGCTAGAGGAGTAGTAGCAGTAGCCAGGGCGTAAGCCAGGACCCCTCACCAAATTGGGATTGGAAATATCTGGGGTTTGACTGCAGACCAACCAGTCTTGACGACGGAGTGGTTTGAGTGTCGCGCGGTGATCCCGTCTATCGTAACGCACCGACCAATGAACAGAGCAAGTACGGAGTGAGAGGACGGGTTGCCTGCCAGCCACGTACGAACCGCAGGGGAGAAGCTTATCAGTCGGAGTAGGCGTAAGCAGACCGACGGATGCTGATTGATTGAGATGATTGGAATGAATTGATAAATAGAGTAAGAAGTAAAGTAGTCAGGTAGATAGGGAAGGCAGTAGTAGTAAGTAAGGGAGGGTTGAAACGGGGGGGATTGATCGAATGGGGGGACGAGAAAGTCGGGGAGTACAAGCTTGCGGTGGACAAGAGCAGCGGAACCGGAGCCGCCCAAATTCGGGGAGATGGAGATATACTCCAGAAATGAAAGGAACTGATAAAAAGCGGTAGGTAATAAGAATAGAATGATAATAAAAATTATTGTCACAGGAATAGGATCACGGCGGAGAGCAGGGAAGGATCTGATTGCTTGTAAGCACTGATCATATCAGGGCCATGGATCTGTATTGGCTGGATAATAGTAATAGTAGGGTTGGTAGTAGTGTAGTGTCGTGTAGTAGTAATATTCTTTTCTTCAATTCCTATTAGATAGTGATACTGAAGTAGTAGTAGTAATAATAATAGATAGTAGTAGATAAAAGGTGTTGTGTATAAGAAGGGAAGAGGTAGTCAGGAACATATATAGTACTAGTTAAATGTCATAGAACAATGACACAAAAGTTGGTTCAGTCCCTTTAGTTCTCTTTTTTCCCTTACTCTCCCTCTCTTTCTGTCTCGGTCTTCATCTCATCCAGTGTCCATTCAGTTGATTATAACTAGTAATGGAATTGGCATGAGGTAAACCAGACAGGAAATTGGGAAAACAGTCATCAGGATCAATAAGAGAATCTCCGGATGAAGCGATCGATCAACACTGGCGAATGTTTTCCACACGTAACAGAAAAGTGGCCAGGCATGCTGGATGGCCACCCGGCGACTTTTCGCCTCAAGTTCCTGCGCCCTTGCACCTCCTCGTCCAGATAAGCCTCGTCCGCCTGATTGGATCCCCGATCGGTTGGCTGCCGAGGTGGCCTTGGTATTACGTACTGAGAATTGCAACTTCTCGTCCGGGAAAGTTTGGGGTTGAGAGAATTGCCGGAGATTCTACCGTCAGGTAGGTAAGTATGGAAGTAGTCAAACTAAATCTCAAATTAATCCTCTAGGGGTGAAGAGTTATATATATATAGTGACTTGCTGCTTATGCCATATGGTCTCATTGTTGGCACATATTATGCATACATACATACAGTTGTCCCTATTTAAACATAGTCATCTAATACTAGTGAATAAATGATCTGGTGCCCGTTTCTCCCGACCTATCATGCCGGGGAAATGCTCAAACCCTCTCACCAAGCAGGGATTACTCAGAGACAGCTCCCAATCACATCATCCCGATAACGCTCTTCATCCACCAATCACAACCCCTGCAATAGACTTGAAATCGGCATAGCGCGATACCGGCAACGGGGATCGGCCCTGCAGCTGGACGGCTTTTCTCCACAGCTTTCCCAGCAAAGCATGTAAAGTCCAACCCACCCCCCATGAGTGCAGTCCATGTGGGCTTTTTTGACGACTTACTCCGTACTTACTATAGAAATGAAATAAGTAATCAATGATGCAGGTCGGCGGGAAAATCCCCGGGTTACTGATTGGTGGGAAAGTGACCTTCCCTTGGGCATCTCTGCTGACCGTCATTGTTCATTATCTAATGGTTATGACTGAGCTGCAGTAGTACATTTGTCCATTTGTCCTGTATACTACTCAAATAGTTAGACTACTCCGTAGTATCCGTTGACTAAGGTTTCCCGGCCGCGCGACGGTTTCGTGACTCAGGTACGGAGTACACAGCGCCGGTGGATGGAATGCTTTTCTTTGTGTTCCATTAAAATTGGTTGTGACATCAGAAAGTACCTGATACGAATTATGGAATAATTCTAATTAACTACTATGATTCCTACTGTATAACATGGTGGTGTTGCAGGTCCTTTTCCAGTAGTCCCATAAATATATGATGTAAGGGAAAAATTGAAGAAAAGCACAAAACCCGAGATTAAATGTTATCTCCGGGGAGAAATCAGCCCGACCGAGCGTCAGTCAGTACTCGTACTAACTAGTCTAGTTCTATAATCAATCACTGTAAATCCCCATCCAGATTAGGCTCGCGTGCAGCTCAAACCAACAACTTTGCACACTAAAAGTTAAGTTGGAAATGGATTCCCATTACTTAATGTAAAGGTCATCCTGCTGCATCCTTTCCCGGGGGGGGGGCGGCCGCCAAATAAAAAAGGAAAAGAACTAAGAAAGGAATTCCCATTATTCAATATTCCGAACGGGGAAGGCGATCACATCATCTCTCATCCATTCAACCATTATTATTCATTCAACCTGTTACTTGGATTAGTAGGAGGTCGGCGGCAACGTGCACTGCCTTACTACCATGGAGTACTAATCTACTACTACTAGAGCGTTTTATCTAGTCCAATCCTTCGGGCCTCTCATGAGGTTTCAATTATCCAACCGATACTGCATTAGACTTTTTCAGCAGTTCGGGTCGAGTCTTTCTCAACAGGCCCATGGATGGGATTGATTGATCATTTTCCTTTCAGTTCAAGCTATCCTCCGTGTCATCCCAACTACTAATGGATGGATGAACTGGTCAATTACTGAATCAACTAAACAGGCAAGCTTCCGCTTTTCGCATGGTCATGGTGCTGGTGAAGTTATCCACTCTGTTTAAACTCTATCTAGTTCTTTGCTGGTAGGTTGGTCATCTAGACTCGGGTCTGCTGATGGATGGATGGTTTTTCACATGTTCTCTGCTTCTTATCTCATACTGTATGCAGTACACAATAGATGGTGACTGACTAGCTACTGTGTATATCGTCCCATATCCCAAACAAAGGGAACGAGAGAGAAAAGAACAACCACCACCCATGACGACATGATCGTCCTGTAACCGCCAATGCAATTTTCCTTTTTCTCAACGATACCCCCTGCTTTTTCTTTTTCTTTTCCCTCTCCTGTCTTATTGCACAGACAGTATAAATTAACTATGCGTCATAACTCCATAACTCCATGCTATCCCGAAAACAGACCCCATGCTCATAGAATGGCCATATGGTACAGCAACGTACACGAACACAACATGCATAAAAAATAAAGAAAGGATGAAGCTACTCCGTGAAATTGCGCAGCTTGGTCAACTCATCCAGCAGCTCCTGCAAATCGCCATCCGAGATCTTATGCTGCAGACTCGGAATGAGCGATTTGGCTTCCTCGGCGTTATCGCAGCACAGACTTCCTATTGGTTATTAGCTGCTGACCATGACACCCCCCAATACTCCTCTCCCCTTCCCCAGTAAGAACCATCCGGAGGAATAGATAAACATACCAAGCTGCGACCGCTCAAACATTTCCAACTCCGTATGCGAATTCAACAACCGCTCCACAGCCTTGATATTCTCTTCATCCTTGAACCGCGCAAACACCTCTAAGTAATCGAGCGTTTTCGTAAGGTTCCTAATCACCAAAAAAAACCATGTATTAGCCCCTAACTGACCCTCTCACTACTGTAACCACCTATGCCTCCTTCCCAAGCCAATCCACAACAGATCAATAGATAGTTAGGAATCACTCACTCCGGCTCCTCATACTTCTTCCCACCTCTCCGCTTATTCTCCAACACCTTATTAATAACCAATCTTGCCTCGGACAGCGACAGCGTATGCGTGTTCTGGTCCGCGCCGAGCTTCAGCGTTGACGCGGCTTCGAGTTCGCCTTGTGGGAGGGTGCGCTTGCGGTGCGTGGCGGGGGGGAGTTGGACGCTCATTTTGATAGATTATATATATATGTGTGTGTGTGTGTGTGTGTGTGTGTAATTGCTGGCTTGGGAAATGTGGTGGTAGGTCGTTAAGAGTGAGGTAGCGCGTCGCTGGTGGTGATGTTGGTGATGTTGGTTGGTTAGTGCGGGATCGGGGGAGGCGTTGAGTTTTGTTCCGGCAGATTACTAGCTTGATGAGGGGGCGGTGAGTGGGTGACCGCCTTTTGCCTTGTGGTGGATATATGGGACGGGGTGTTCCATATGGTAAATATAATAGAGATATTGGGAGGTGAGTGGGATGATATATATTTATCTGTCTAGTATGTTTTATTTTAAGGGGATGTAAGTTATTTACAAAAGTATAGGTGTAAGGGTATCAATTCAACATTTTATCGGCACTTTTTCTATATCCATAGCCAAAACGCCTGTATGCTATGCGTTAAGTAGATCGTTCGTATATGATGATTCAGAAGTTTTCTCGATAGCAAGTTAGATCTGGCGGAATGCAACCTCCTTCGGCAGACGGAAGCTGGCGCAGAACATCTGCTTGTTAGGGCTGACCAATCTGACATTGTGGATGGCCAGATCGATCTCCTGGTTGCCGCTGCCGCCGACGCGGTCCTCCGTGGTAATGGTGTGTCCGATGCGCTCCGAGATGCGCTGGCAGATATCGACGTGGTCGTCGTGTTCGTCCGCAGAGTGGCCTGAGAAGCAGTACACATGGACCTTGGGCAGCGGCTGAGACGTGTGAGGGGCAAAGAGCGACTCCTTGCCTGCGTAGACGCCGACAAAGGCGTCGAGGAACTCAATGGCGTTACCGGGGAGGTTCATCACGTAGTGATGGAAGACGTTAGGGCGATGGAACACCTCCGGGGCGGGGAGCGCCTCTCCCTTCTCCTCTGCGGCGGCCTTCTTGCTTCTGCGCACCTTGGGCTCGATGGTCACGGTGTGGGGAGAGTCCAGGAGGGCCTGGGCAGACCAGCGGATGAATTCGCGGCCGTCCTTGTTGAAGGGGGTGACGAACTTGTCGGCCTTGTTGCGCTTGACGGCGTCCAGCATCACCTCGTATCCGTGGGGGTTGAGATCGTTGGCCCACACGAAGATCTTCTTGCGGCCTGCGGGCACTGCGAAGGGCCCGACGCCCGCCATCACATCGCAGACCATCTCTCCGGGGCGGAACTTGTCCACGAGACGACGGTGCTCCGTCTCGAGACGGCTGTTCCAGTACACGCGCGAGTAGTCGAACCGGAACTCGCAGTGTTGCTCGTGCTGGAGAACGTTCAGGTTGTTCTCACCGGCCAGCAGCTCAAAGGGGAACGTGCGGAATTCGCTATGGGAGCCCACATCCTCGGTCTTGCGGATGACCGTGCTGATGTTGGGGTTCTTGTCCAGCAGGACCTGGGCAAGTAGGTGCTTGTAAGGCAGGTATTGCTCGCGAAGGTTGAGGTGCGCTAGTTCGTCAGCATAATCCTGAGATGTGCAAGATAAAGAGGACTTACAAACATGACCGACTTGCGTGAATCCCTGAGGGATCTCATCGAGCATGTCCTCGGGCAGAATGCAGGACATGATATCCGCTGCTCCAATTAGCCTTGACTTCCCATACAGCGAAGCATCATTCCCACGCACCATAAGTCCAGTAATCGTAATCCAACGTCAAATCATAAGGCTTAACGCCAACCATTCCCTTGTTCACAAGCTCACTAATCGTCGGCGACCACGTCGCAGTATCTAGACCCGTCAGCACAACCCCGATACCAAAGTATCTCCAAAGCCGAGGCAGTGATCATACCATCATGTTTAATATCCTCCTTCAATAGCAAACACTTATGCACTAAATCATTGATCTTAATCTCCCTTATAGAGCCCAATCTCGGCAGCACAAGCATATCCCGGCTCTTGGTCAATTCCTTCCGCACATTGGAGATATCCGATGTCTTGAAAATCGCTGCCGCAGAGATCGGTACCGTCTTCTTGAAGAAGGACCGGTCCAGGACTCTCATGGCCCGGTTCACTGGAGGACGGAACATGGCGGGGAGGTCGCTGCGGAGCGGTTGGGTGGGTTCGGAGTCGATTTCCATGGACATGGGCAGTATATTTAGTTGGATATTTGGGGTTGGGTAATTGGCGGTCTGTGCTAGTCGACGTATTTGAAATGCGAGGCTGGCATGGACTGGCTGGGATCTGGTTGTTCGTTTGGTGGGAGGATCGCGACATTTTTTAGACTTTGGAATTGGGCTGTGACTCTGTGGCTTATCGGCACGTGATGGGAGATAAGATTGATATGAGGGATCACATGTCTTCTACTGGTAACTATGGAAGGATTGAGTGCAAGATAGTAAGGGTAGTCAAATTGTTCAATAATATCTAGCTAAAGCTACCGAAATAATCTACCTAGGAAATCCGCCAGCAGACCCTGATACATAAATAAAGCAAGAATGGACATCGTCATCAGATCATCACGCGAAGACGCAGGAGAAAGTATACAAACCGCATATTGATAGGGTATCATCGCAACCACTTCACAGTTCACCTCCTTTCCAGCATTGCTACTCGCTCATTCAACGCCTTAATCTGATCGTCCTTCTTCTTCAACGAAATCCTAGAAATGTCCCGTCCCCGGGCAATCCCCTTCATCTTCAGGTCATGCTTCTGCAAGAGATCCATCAACTCACCCTTCGCTTTCTCCGACATCACCACCCTATTCCTATCCAGGATCTCAACAGCTTGTGCAGTCAGCTCAGACGAAGCCTTCTCACCACCCGTAGCAGGACTAGCCCCAAACCTCACCGGCGTAGGTGTCTTCGAAAACTCCAACGACGACGGCGGCACAGAAGACGAAAACGACACGGCCCGATCCGTAGAAGATCTAGCCAACGATGTCGGCGTAAAGACTTCCGTCTTCGAACCCTCCGAGATGTCATCGAACTTTCTCTTCCCTGGCGCAGAAGCCCCAACTGCGTCTCGGGACGGCGTCTTGAGAGGTCCGAAATTCGGCTGTCGCATTGGCGCAGCAGCAGCAGCCTGTTGCTGCCTCTGTTCCTGAGAACTAAGTATATTCTCCACCACCGCATCATCTGAATCCCCCCATTCAAACTCATCAAAGTCTTCAGCCATCATGCGCGCTTTGGCGCTTTGCGGTGGCGTAGTTGCACTCAACCGTCCTCCTTTCCCACTGGCTCCACTATTATCCAAGCCCATACCTCCGAATCTTACCGTACGATCAGTTTGCGGGGTTAGAAGACCCGCTTCGGATAGGCGTGGTTTCTTGGAGGGTGTCTCGGGGGCGGAAACCGTGGCAGTGGTGGCAGTAGAGGAGAAGGAATCCGCGGCAGGTTCAGTGCGAGAGTTCGTCAAGACGGCGTGCTTCTCGCGGACTTCGGCGTCGCTGGCCCAGAGAAAGAAGCGACAGCGTTTCTCTTGGGGCTTTTGGCAGACGTAGACTGTGAGGGGTGGGGTGCGGGGTTCAGTGGTTAGCTGGGGATTCGGAAGTGGTATTGGCTTTTGAGGTAACTTTGGTAGATCAGAAAGGGATGTTAACTGCGTACACCATCGTCCATGGTTCACACCATGGTTCTTGGTTTGGAATTTCACGGCTGGAGGACGCTCTGGACAGTTGCAGCGCCAAACGCCGTCGAGGAAGAGACCCCGCAGAGGAACCGCTGTGCGAGGCGAATGAGGCGATGGACTGTTGCCGAAGGATTTCATGGGAGAGAGCATGGTATAGTAGTAAAGATGATTAAGGATAGGCTTAAGAGTTACTAGACCATGCTGAGAGGCACTTCTGCAGATTCGAGAATAAAGATGGAGGGATAGATGGAGGGATAGACTGGTTGTCGCCATGGAAACTGTGGGTCTCAACGCGGAGACATGACAGCGGAAGATCGACTTTCGACCGCGAAAAGTGGTCCGCATTTCACATACTTCTAAAATAAAATAAAAGCCAAACAATCTGTCTTGGTCCGCTCTAAACTAAAGATATTAGGTGTATACAACAGTTTCAAAGCCTCGAACAGATCAGATCATGTCCCTCTCTAGCCCATCCAGCAATCCCATGCAAGATCTCTACCTCCAACAACCAGAATCAAACGATGTATACAAGGCCTGTATAGACTCTAGGGTATCTTAACAATGCAACCACACTTATTCCGCAAGTACCTGTCGCAACATAACGCCAAATGACTCGGACAACTTGAGAATTTCGCTGATGTCCGGCTTGACCGGCTCGCCTGCCGTACGCCGAAGTTGGTCCTGCTGCTTGACCCGCCGCCTGCGCTCCGCCGAGATCGGGTCCAGGTCCTCTTCGTCGTCCAGATCTTCGGATGCTTCCGACTCGGCGTCCGAGATTGCAAGATCTTCCAGATCGGCCTGCATTCACTTGTTAGCACACAGCTACACAGCTGCATCTGTGATAGTCATGAATACATACCTCGTCGAGGCCAAAGTCGCTGCCTCGGAATGACGCGTTACCCAAGTATCCGTCATGTGCCGTACCCTCAGCGGCCATCTTCTGCCGCGTCTTGTTCAAGTGCCACCGCTTTCGGTCTTCATGCCACTTGATCAGGGCATTGATCTCTTCCAGTGCCTTGTCCTTGTCAATCTGCACGAAATCCGTGGCTCCCCGAAGCAAGGCGTTCATATCGAGCGCACCTCCGCGCGGCCCCTTGCGCAGGAATTCGAGAATCTCCTCGATCCACGCCATGAGAGAACTGAACAGGCCATTGTCGTGCAGGTGAACTTCGTGAACGAATTTGTAGAAGCTACTTTGATGGCGCTCGCACAGGTCGATGAAGGCCTGTACGGTCTGATTCGGATCTGCCGACACATCTTGCCGCTGACACTTCTCAATCACCGCAATCGCATCGTCGGCGAAATGTGCAAAATCGGTGATGCTGCTGTAGACGTTGGCAGACTTGTAGACGCGCACCAGGGGTTCGTAGAAGATGGTGAAGAGGTCGCGGAACAGCTGAAGAGTAGTTGGCTCTTCTACGATGCTCAACATCATAGCCTTGTCCCTTTGACGAGTGTACAGCTTCAGAAGCTGCTTCAAGTTCGCAAACCAGTGCGCCCCCTCGCGCATCTCCACCTCAACATTGTCCACGGCTTGGTTCCATGCTACGTATCCATTGAACACCTTGCCGAATTGCTCTGGAGCCAGCTCGGGTTGCAGATACTCGCTACGGAGGATGGCCACGATAATGTCAACATCCTCGGCGGCAGCTTCGGCACGAATCTCGTTCTTGACCTCTTCGTCGGCATCGGTGAAGGCTTTCAACTTTTGGCAAAGAATGGGATCATCGACCTTGGCAGCCAACGCATCGATCGATTTCTGGAAGGCCTTGATGCCATCGTTGAGGGTCATTGAGAAGATCCGCTGGAGCAGGGATCGAGAGCCGAAGGGTTGGGCCAAGAACAGGTCCAGCACTCCTGCCATGACGGCCGCGGGGTTGGCAATACGAATAACATTCTTCAACAAAGTGTACGGGACAAGCGAATGAATTCGCTTAGCTTGCGCGAACAATTCAGGGGAATTATCCTCGGCCAGGAAAAGGTGGTAAAGTGTTGCAGCAACCCTGGCGTTTGGTTAGTCTGAATACAGAGCAACGGTATTCCATTAAACACGTACTCTATCCGGAGCCACTCCGCAAATTTCTGATACTTGGGACTCAGATCCTGCACCGTGGGCTTTTCTTTGATTTCAGCGAACAGTTTGGTCAAACCGTCTAGATTGTAATTCTATTGTCAGCGGAATAAGCCTTTGATCGGGACCTCAGCAAGGACTTACTGCTCTCCACAATGTCGCGGCGGAAGTTCTCCATGTAGACGTCCAATTCCGCTGCACGCGCCCTGGCGATCTCGTAGAACCGCTTCTGCTCCTCTATGCGCACCGCATCGACATCTTTGCGCTTCTGTATGTCCAGCACCTCCTCCTCATTCAAAATGATGGGGTCCGCTGTGAGGAACTCTTCCATGGCCTTTGTCTCAGCTATACGCTTGTTTTGCAGCAAGGTACGAAGGAACGCCCGAAGAGAAACTCTCTGCTCTTCGCGGTAAAGTACCGTCTCCCTCGACCCGTCGCTGGAAGCTCGGGGAGATCTTACGGAACGCCTGGATGACCGCGACAACGACCGCTGATGGTGGTTTCCGGGGGCCAAGTTACGGGAGGACGTACCGTCATCAACCACAGCGACACCCACTGTTGAAACCGACGACACTGAGGATGCTTCATCGTCTGCCGATCCGAACCAGCTCGTTGTCGTGGAGGATTTATTCTTGCGGGGAAGGGGTGGGAGTGGTTTGCCTGGAAATTCCGTGCGTAGTCGCTTGTGAAACTTGGCGAAATCGCCATATCGTCGAGCCACGAAGAGATCGGGCTTTCCGTCGCGGCGCACTCGAAGGATAAACTCCTAAATTGTGCATCAGTGGGGAAGTCCAATCACACAACCATGTAGACGCTTACTGCATGCTGGTGGTATCGCACCGTCCTCCTGACCGAGGTAACGCGTACGGCAGCCACGTTGACGTCCCAACCATGGATGGCATGACCCTCCGGCATATTGACCAACAGCCCCTTTTCGTTAGCCCCTCGGTCTACCACCTCCATCTCCGAGAACTGGATCCGCTCCTCGTAGCCCGATGCCGTGGGGATACCAGAGACCATCATCAGCTCGACCAGTTTCTCGCACTTCCGGGCTAACTTCCGACGCTTGGTCTCTTCCAGACGATCTTCGGAGGAGGATACATGCTTCGTCGCGAACGATTCGAGGAACTATGGGCCGGCGATTAATTATCAAGTACGAGATGCGCAAAACGGAGTGGATCGGGGACACACGCACCACTTGTAACTTATCCTGCCAGAACTCCTTCTCGCGAGCTTGATCGAGGAAGGGGAAATTGCGCACATGGTGGACGAAGATGTATCGTAGGATGGGAAGCTCCGAGTCGACGGGCGCGACTTCGCCGAATTTGGATTTGAAGGGGGCACCGAAGCGTCGGAGGGCGGTTGGCGAATTCAGCTCGGAAATTTCGCTCTGAACTTGGCGGGCGATGAGTTCGCGCTTGAGATCTGCATCGGTCAGAAAGAGACCCTCGAAGACTCCAAAGCGATTAAACGGGACGCGATCGGGGAAAACTGACAATGTTCTTGTTTTCCGGTGAGGATCTGGCCGGGCGCGGGGTTGGAAGCGGCTGGGGAAGCAGCAGCAGCGCCCGACTGGACTCCGTTGGGAACGGAGGAGAGGTCCGCAGAAGTCATGGTTGAGTTGCTCGAGCACAGTGGGTATTCAACCTGCTGGTCGGGCAATCATTGACTTTATAACTGCAGCTGACAGGGGTGATGGTGAATAGAATCAAATTAAGATTCTAGAAGGGGAAATCAGCGTAGAATCCGTCTGCCTAGTTGCGGCCAAGGTTCGGGCTGTGGATGATGATGACGTTTTGGTTCCAAGTGGATGCTCGGCGTGCGCCTCACCCCACGATTTACACTTTGCTTGGAAGATCAATTGGGGGGGGGGGGGGTCACAGGGAAGTGCGACAAGCAATAAGACTGGGAGAAGATAGGGAGGAGAAAGAAACGGGCGCAAAGAGAAAAAGGTGAAGAGGGGGGAAGAAGAGGAAGAAGAGGGGAGGGAGGAAGCAAAAGCAAGAAAGCAGCAGGAAAGCAGAGAGGGGAAAGCGGAGAGCGAAAACAGCAGCGGGAAGACAGATGGAGAGGAGAGAAATAAAAAAAGATGAGAAGAGAAATAGGAAAAAGGGAAGTGACAATCTGCGGGTGATGACACCATCCAAGACCAGTAACTAAATAGATAAATTAAATTTAGAACGAAAATGGACGTATTGGATTGATTGATTGATTAAATAGTAGATAGTGTGTCTTCTTCTTCTTCTTCTTCTTCTTCTTCTTCTTCTTCTTCTTCTTCTCCCAAAGTAACTACCCTACTTCTTGGGCGCTCAGCCCTGTGGCCCCGCCGTGACCATTCCGCGGATCCCACAGCATTACGGAGTCCAAGTCAAGTCATAGTCTATATCTTGTTGGATGCTATTCTTGTCCACTTTCCCTGTGTGGATCCCCGACATTCCTCTCTCTCTCTATACCCATCCGTGGTAGTTTTATCATCTACTTTAGATCTCAACAAACCCTCCAAATCCACTAGATAAATATTACCAGATCCTCATAATCTCTTAATTTATGCAGGAAGGATGTTTGCCTAATATGGCACCTGCAAGCTGCAGACTAGTCTTTTTGGTCACCGACTGCCAGCCAATCTAACCCCCTCCGAGCTCGTCTGATCTGCAACCCTTTTCCCTCCTTATCACTTCGAACACCACTTGACCTGCTCGGATCGTCTAGGCCCATGCTTTCTTGCTGTCATGATCTTCCACTGAGCCACCATGTGTCCAAATTCGTAATTCGGTTGTGTTGTCATTCAGTCTCTATCCTGAACCAATGCTTCATCATTCAACCTTATTATGCATGGATTCTCTCGCATCCTCGCATCTACCAATAGCGATATTGGCGTTTGCCTCAGGCAGACATCATCGTTTACCTTGCTAACAGCAGTGACAAAAGGCTGGCTCGTACTATGTCCGCTGGTTTCGTAGAAGTTGACCATATACAGTATACAATATACATTTGCTCATTGGTTTGTCCTCTCTGACTCAAGACGAACGAACGAACGTAACATTGACCATTATATACCCCTTTTAGGCTTAAGCAACACTCTTTTGGGACTGTTCTTGTCTCCAGTCATACCTTTCAGGAAGATGTACCGTATGGAAAGACAACCATACGAACCGCTTGAGTATCGAGTATCCCGACGGTTACGCAATGAGCGAAGCAGCCCTCCCTGGCACCCAAACGGGCTATCCCATACAACTGCTCTGCCTGATGCATGACCTTTGTTATTGCCATCTAGAGAGGTTTTCTAGCTTCTTCATCGCCCGTGTTAGTCTACAATTACCACTACCCGCGGTCAAGTCCGATATCTAGAAGCGAAGCGACCTATTTATGGGAACATGAGGTAGGCATTCATAATAATACGGTCATGCCTACCTCATGATCCCATACAAAGGCAGAATGTATTGGATCGCAGCAAGAACTCCAAGAGAAGGAATCATATACAACCATGGGTCTAAATCTTCGTTGGACTATGTTAATCCCTACGGGGTTCGGGGCCCTTCCTCCAGGTTTCTCCTCGTCAACACTTCTATTGCTCACGATCGACCACTCAACTTCATCTTTAAGCGCCTCATAGTACTTCAAATACCTCGTAGTTAGACTGTCTGCAAACAAAAACCTGCAGAATTACTCTATCATCATGCGAGATTAGCAGAAAGCAGCCTCGCTATACTCTATACTAGCCTCTAACTGTCATATCTAGGGTCTCCTTTTAGAGATCGAACACATGGCTACCAACACCATGCCGTCTATAGGCATTAGACGTGACAGTTCCCTCTCCCCTACTCCCATGATCACTCCACCCAATACACTTACTCCTCCAAGCACACTCGCTAGGCGTGGTGCAATCCGCCGTTCCCTTCCCAGACCCATTACACTCTATCCAACCTGCCTTCCGACAAGCAATATTACTAGAAATGACTCGATCTCACCTTGCCGCAAGCACCGTAGTGGACGCAACCACAACGTCTCCACAACCCATCCCTCTGATGCCTCTTATTTTTCTGATATATCACCCTTCCCTAACTCCTCCCCTAACTCCTCATCTCCTGACACCTCCTCTAACACCACCACTACACCCTCCTCTGACATCTTCTCGTCCTACTCTGATACCTGCCCCTCTAACATCACCTCTCCTGATGTCCCCTCCTCTGACGCCCCCACCGACTGTAACTGTTGCTCAATACTATTCGACGCCTTGGATAACGGTCTTGGGGGTACCACCTCCATCAACAAGGCCCTTGAAACTGTCCGCCTGTATGGCGGCTGTGACGGACTAAAGCGGATCATCGACCCGGTCGAACAATTGAGCCTCTGCAAGACATGCCCCAGGGAGGAAGCCCTCCGAGAGTTCTTGTACTTGGTCTGCAACGGAGTCATTCGGCAATACCGGCATTTCTACTACGCACTCAGTGAATACTACGAAACAGTCCACCCCCGGCTTCGCTTGGGCTCCCGCCACGAAAGAGAGCGGCACGACTATACTTTCATGCTTTATGTCATTCAAATCGCGCGCATAATTGCCAGCGTCGACCGATTCAATCGCATTCTTCCCGCACAGTCGGTCTACGACGCAGATGCCTGGTATGCCCTAGCCAACCAGTGTGAGCAACTGGTCGACGCCACCGGCCGACTCCGAGAGCAGGTAGTCTGCGGTGATGGCTAAGGGAAGGGCATTTTTGAACCTATTCATGTCGTGCGCTTTCCATATATCTAGAGTGGCAGGTGGGAAGGCCGGGCGGGTGGTGGGAAAAGGCCTTCACTGGCACCGAGATGGCTATGAGCCGTCTTATATATAATATCAACTACCATCAAATTCTACAATAAATCTTTAACAACATTTGACGATGCTAGTAGCAGACCTGAAGAGGCTCTTCAGAGATCTGCATAAGCTTTCTCCCTAGTGTCCAACCCAATTGGCTGCATAACCAACCAGTAATAACAATCGGAGCATGGTGTAGGGCATCCCGAAAAGGCCGTCAATAGAAGCCCGGCCTGAATAACACCGTGGGTGGCCTCAGGCGACAAACACCCCCGTAGATCTGCTGCGCCTCCCGTTTCACTTGCTGATCGCCTCAACACTCCGGCCGTCGCGTCGGAAACTCAACCTTCATCATTCCTCTTCTGCCTTGTTTTTCGAGTCCATGACTGCATCCGTCCTCTAAAAGCACGAATCGGTGCACGAACGTGTTCACCACCTTTCGCACTCCTCATAGCCCCCATCACCGCTGATCCCCCGAGCCGACGATAACGATCCCTCGGCTCTTATCTACCGGAGCTGCCAGTGACTCCCTTCCACCGCTACCCTCGTGATCTTATGTGATACAGCGACACCGATCTTTCCTCCTCAAGGATTGTCTCCCATAATGGGGAATTATCAAGAGGATGACAATAACGAATTCCTCCCCATGAGCCGCCCACGGCCCTCCACCGCCTCGACATCCTCCGATTCGGGCCTCTCCGTCGATACCACCGCCTACCCCGAAGAATCCAAGTACACTTCAACCGCCCCTGGCGCCGATGGACTGTCCGATGAGAATAGATACCGAGATGTGGAAGAGGGAGAAGTAGGAGCAGACGAGCCGTTCCTGCCTTCGGCAAAGAAGCCAGCTGCCTCTGGGAGCCGTACGTCTCGTCTGATTTGGGGCCTGGTGATACTCTGCGTCGCTGGTTGGCTTTGGGGCTTGGTGCTGTTTGTGACTCAAAGTCGCTCGGCCCAGCAGTCAGTATCTGAAGCGCTGCAATCACATGAGTCGGGTGCAAACTCCGGGAGCTCGAGTTCTGGGAAACCGGTTACGCTGGAGCAGGTGCTGACGGGACAGTGGCTTCCGCGGTCCCACGCCGTTTCCTGGATTGCGGGACCTAATGGCGAGGATGGTCTTCTGGTTGAACAAGGAGAGGATCAGGGCAAGGGATATTTGCGGGTCGACGACATCCGCAGTCGCAAAAGCGATGCGACTGCCCAGGAAAGCAGGGTGCTGATGGAAAAGGCAATTGTGCAAGTGGATGGACGAACGATCTTCCCTGTCTCAACGTGGCCCAGCCCGGACCTGAACAAAGTGCTGCTTTTGTCTGAACGTGAGAAGAATTGGAGACATTCTTTCACTGGAAAATATTGGATCTTCGATGTGGCGACCCAATCGGCACAGCCACTTGACCCAAGTGATCCTGATGCACGCGTGCAGCTCGCAATCTGGTCGCCAACATCCGATATGGTTGCGTTTGTGAGGAACAACAACCTCTACTTGCGCAAGCTGTCCTCGAAGGAGGTTGTCCCAATTACAAAGGACGGCGGAACGGATCTTTTCTACGGCATCCCCGACTGGGTCTACGAGGAAGAGGTCTTTTCGGGCAATAGTGTAACCTGGTGGTCTGGCGACGGCAAATACGTGGCTTTTCTGCGTACCAACGAGACGGCTGTTCCTGAATTTCCCGTTCAGTACTACCTGTCACGGCCATCGGGCAAGAAGCCTCTCCCGGGACTAGAGGATTATCCAGAGGTCAGGGAGATCAAGTACCCCAAGGCTGGAGCTCCCAATCCCGTTGTGAATTTGCAGTTCTACGATATTGAGAAGCAAGAGGTTTTCTCGATCGAAGCACCGGATGATTTCGAGGACGATGATCGTATCATTATTGAGATTGTCTGGGGCACTGAAGGGAAGATCCTTGTGCGCGCAACCAACCGAGAAAGCGATATTCTGAAGGTATTCTTGTTTGACACAAAGGCTAGGACTAGCAAGCTTGTACGTGTTGAGAATGTCGCTGAGATCGATGGTGGCTGGGTAGAGCCTACGCAGTACACTTGGTTCATTCCAGCAGATCCCAACAACGGTCGCCCTCACGATGGATATCTCGATACCGTGATCCACGAGGGCTACGAGCACCTGGGTTACTTCACGCCCTTAGACAACTCAGAACCCATTCTCCTCACTCAGGGCGAGTGGGAAGTAGTAGATGCGCCAACCGCTGTGGACTTGCGCAAGGGCATCGTGTACTTTATCTCAACAAAGGAATCCCCCACCGAGCGGCACCTCTACCAGGTGAATCTTGACGGATCCAACCTCAAGCCTCTAACGGACACCTCCAAGCCGGGCTACTACGACGTATCCTTTTCCCATGGAACCGGCTACGCCCTGCTCAGCTACCGTGGCCCGTCCATCCCATGGCAAGCGATCGTCAACA